CTTCGAACTTAACTCTCCGAGTAACATCTACTACCAAAATCCTCTTCATTCCATTCCCCCCAACACCACAAATCGTTAGGGTTTCGTTTTTCTCTCTGAAAAATGGTTACATGTAACTCCCTTTCCCTCTCTACTCACAGTCTCCTTTTCCATAGCAGACATCGTCTTCACCCTACATGGAGGCGTTCCTGTTATCACTCTTCTTCCTCCAATGCTCTCCCAAGTAATTCACCATGTCTCCTTTTTCATGCTCATATCATTTCAATTCTGAATCAAATCGTTTACTTCTTTTTTTTTTGTTTAATTTTTTGAAATTTGAATGAAATTGGATTAATCTCTTATGGTTTTGTCGAGTAATTTGTCAAGTAAGATTTCATTTTAAGGTGATTTAATGGATGTGTATTTATATATTGAAGCTGTGTTATATAATTGTTGTGTTTTGAGTAGATATTGATGTAGCCAAAGTATTGCAAAAAAGACCAAGAAAAATTGAAGGTCCTAAAAAGAGCATGGAAGACTCTGTTCAACGCAAGATGGAGCAATTTTACGAAGGATCAGATGGGCCACCTCTCCGCGTTCTTCCTATTGGTGGATTGGGTGAAATTGGAATGAATTGTATGCTTGTGGGGAATCATGATCGATATATCCTCATTGACGCCGGAGTCATGTTCCCAGAGTACGTCATGCAACTCCATTCCCTCTCTCTTATATACTGTGCGGCTATGACTTATCACTCATACTTTAGTGCATTGAATAATCTCAATCTCTATGCATACGGAATTTCATATGAAAGACTTTAAAATGTTAAATACTAGTCAGCGTGACATTGCATTCTACGGTTACGAAGACTGCGAGATATTTTCTTTATGAAGATGATTTAAATTTTTTATAAGTGCTATCAAATTGCTTATGCATGATTGTCTTTTATTTACACATTGTTCACTTGTTTCAGCTATGATGAGCTTGGGGTTCAAAAGATAATACCTGACACAACATTTATTAAAAAATGGAGCCACAAAATTGAAGCAGTAGTTATAACACACGGTCATGAAGATCATATTGGTGCATTGCCTTGGGTAATGCTTCCTATTTTAAGGAAATATATTCTTTTATCAACTAGTTGTCTCTGGTTTATTCCATTAGATTTGCTTGAGTATTTTGTCACAGGATAAAATACCCATTATTTGATGCATTCTGCCATAAGAAAAGGAAACAAGCTATAACAAGAACACAAATTTTTTTAACGAACCAGTACTTGGTACCTTCATCACTATGATGATTTTAAGTTAATGCAATGGGCTTCAAGGAGGATATACAACTACGATCGAATAGATTAGGTCTATAATTAGTGTCTTTTGGATTATAGCATGTTTAAGGACTAGAACACGTGGACATATTTACTGGCTACTCATAATGCACTCTTTTACAAGCTATATGAAATATCTAAGGTAATGGTTGTGTGACTTCCGTCTAGGGGTGGAAATAGGCAGGCCGATAACAGGGGCCTACGGCCTAGCCTACATAGGCTCAAGCTACATTCTAGTCTACATAGGCTCAAGCTACGACCTAGTCTATATAGGCTCAGGCTAGGCCTAGGCTTTTTTATAAGCCTATTTAGTTAAAAAGACTAGGCCTTTAAGATGGGGAAAGGGCGAGGGCGTCCGAAAAAACCGGTGTTTCCGTTGCCGATCTGTGTCTCCAAAAACTCCGTTCAATGATAACAAGACTCCTTGTGAAAACCATGCTCAGCTTAGTTCTCTTCTGCACCAAGCTAGTACTAGTAAAGTGTTGGAAGAGGAGGAGAAAGACGAACCCAACTATGAAGAGGAACAAAATCTGACGAAACCCTATCTACGAAGGTTGAAGAAGAACGCAAGCTCTGGGTTGATGTTTTGAACGACAATCGTAACCCTGCGGTGGGTAGAAGTATGAAATTCATAGCCCCTAAACTTGTCAATGGTGAGGTTGAAGTTCTGATAAACGATGAAGATGTAATAGACGAAATTAAGTTCTGGCAACCATCTCTTATTCTGTATGGGCTTGGTGGTGAGTTGAAAACCTTAATGATTAAGAATTGGAATTTTGTTCAGCTTCCTGATATGTATTATCATGAGGAAGAATACTTTATCCCCCGGTTTAAATCTTTCAGGGAAAGGGATGCAGTGCTTATGAATGGCCCGTTCTCAATTAGAAATATGCCGGTGTTGATTTGTGAATGGCGTCCAGAATTCAATATGAAAAATGACCTTCTTCAAACTCTCCCTATTTGGGTAAAATTTCCTTTTCTTCCTTTTTATCTATGGGGTGATACTAGTTTGAACAAAATTGGGAGCGCTCTGGGTAATCCTATTATGACTGATGAATGCACAACTAATAGGTTAAGAGTATCGTATGCTAGAATTCTTGTGGAGATGGATATTATTAAAGATCTGCCTAAAGACATTACTATAAGGGATAATGAAGGAGAAAAATTGCAACAACCAATTGAGTATGAATGGCGTCCTCTTTTCTGTACTAATTGCCAGAAATTAGGTCACAATTGTGAAAAACCTAGAGCTAAAGTTGTACAATGGAAGCCTAAACCAAGTCAAGCTGAAGGGAAGAAACAAATCCATGCTGAAAATGTGAAGGTTGTGGTGAAAAAGGCTGCCAAAGAATCTGACAGTAGAGTCTCTCCTGAAAAGGAGATTGCTGAGATTGCTGGAGATATTACTTAACCCCCAGATGAAGTAGCTGTAAAGGATGGAGTGTGGACTGCAGTGAAAGATTGGAAAAGATCGAGGGAAGAGAATTGTTGGTGACTCATCTGGCTCTGTAACTTGTGAAAATGGTTTTGATGCCCTGCAGATTTTGAATGATCTGTTGGTGCTGCAGAACACAGGTCAATGATTGTATCCTGGAATATCAGGGGACTGAATAAAATTGGTAAGCTTAGGGAGATTAACTCCCGTCTCCTAGAGTTGAAGGCGGATATTAACATTCTTATAGAGACTAGAGTTAAGAGTGATCATGCCAATTCTATTAGAAATAAATTGAATTTAGGAGGTAAGTATGTTGACAATTATCTCTTCCATGATAATGGTCGTATCTGGCTGCAGTGGAATCCAAACAACCTTGAGGTTAAGGTCAATTTTGTGACTAACCAATTGATTCATTGTGCTATCTTTGATATCCGTGGTAAATTTTGTTACTGGCTGACTGCTATCTATGGTTTGAATAAGCTTGAGCAAAGGAAAATCCTCTGGAGAGACATTACTAATCTGCATCATCAAGGCCCATTCTCATTGGTGATTTCAATAATGTTTTGAAATCCCAAGATAGGATTGGTCGTAACATTGTGACTAAAGCTGAGTTCAAAGATTTACAAGCTATGATGGATAATAAAGATTTAACAGAGATGGTTGGAAGTGGTGACTACTACACTTGGTGCAACAAGCATAGTATTGGTACTATACACTCTAGAATTGACAAACTTCTGGGCAATACATACTGGTTTTAAGCTAATATGAATGCAACTCTCAAAGTGCTACCTCCCAGTGTTTCTGATCACTCTTTGTTATACCTGTCTACCCAGGCTTCTCCAGCTAAGCACCACATCAGATTCCGTTTTATTAATTGTGTGACTGAGACACATGGCTACAATGATGCTGTCAAAACCAGTTGGAATACTCCTTTAGATGGGAGACCTAACTTCATACTTTGGCATAAGTTGAAGAGATTGAAAGATGTGCTCTATAAGTTGAATAAACCCCTTATTCTGGCTAAGCAGCATATTGTTCTGGCTAGAGATAGGCTTTCCATTGTGCAGGCTACATTGACTGTTGACAAGATGAATATCCAGAAAATTCAGGTAGTTAAGAAGTGCACTGAGGATCTTATCTATTGGAATGAGATTGATGATGCTATTATTAGGAAGAGAGCTAAGATTAAACGGCTTAAAAATGGTGATGAGAATAATTCGTATTTCCATGCTTATGTGAAAGGGAAGCAAAATGCTAAGGCCTTGAATATGTTGGAGAAAGAAGATGGAACAATTCTGACTTCTCAAACTGATATTGAAAATGAAAATTTGAATTTCTATGGTGGTTTGATGGGTCAAAAGGAGCAAATGCTGAATTGTATTGATGTTGGGGCTATGAGAAAGGGTCCCCAACTTGATTGTCTGCAAAGGAATAGCCTGGTGGGTCCTGTTTCTAAGCAGGAAATTCACTCTGCCCTTAAAGGGATTGATGATTTGTCAGCTCCCGAGCTCGATGGTTATAATGCTAAGTTTTTTAAACATAGCTGGGACATCATCAAGTTTGATTTAATAGCAACTATTCAGGAGTTCTTTGATAAAGGGAAACTGTATAAAGCTTTCAATTGCACTCTGATTTCTCTCATCCCCAAGAGTAGTTATGCTAAATTCATTAAAGACTATATAGGTCTATCTCAATTTGCCCAACGGTGTATAAGATTATCTCAAGGATTCTAACAGCAAGATTGGGTAAAGTTATTGGCAGCATTATGAGTCCTACTCAAACAGCTTTTATCCCGGGTCAACAAATCCATAATCATATCCTTTTGGCTTATGAGATAATTAAAGGGTATAATAGAGCTGGTGGTCCTCCTAGATGTATGTTTCAAATTGATATGCAAAAGGCGTACGACATGATAAATTGGCAAGCCTTGGAATCTATTATGTATGAGCTTGGTATTCCTTCTAACTTCATCAACCGGGTTATGTCTGTTTTATCTTCTGTTTCTTACAGATTCAATGTTATTGGCTCTCTATCTCAGCTCTTGGTTGCCAATAGAGGAATACGGCAAGGGGATCCAATCTCCCCTTACCTCTTTGCTTTTGTCATGGAGTATTTGCATCGTTGTATGATTCAAATGCAACTTAACCCTAACTTTAATCATCACTCCATGTGTGAGAGACTGCAGTTGGTGAATCTTATGTTTGTTGATGATGTTTTGCTTATGTTTGCATTGATAAAGGTTCTCTGGTTTCATGGATTATGCGTAAAATTCTTCTACAGAGAACCTTTATCAATGCAAACCAAAGCTTGTGGAATGATATGAAAATGCAGAACAAGTTCGATGTAAGTCTGTCTACTTGAAGCTTGTTGTTGGAAGTTATTAGAGAGATAAGTACATAATCAACAAATTCTTTGTTATACAACTCAACATAATATTCATTGTAAATAATAATTAGTAATTAGTTGTCTTCTACCATATTTAGAATTAGCATTTAAAGTGATTTGTCCCTTGTATTCTATAAATACCTTTCATGTATTACTACAATATCAAAGAAATACAAATTGTTTGTTTCTTTATGGTATCAAAGCACTCGATTCTAAGGGCTTTGCTTCCGCGCTCAAAACACTAGTCATTCTTATTACGGCCCTTTTTTCTTGGTCAAGGTTCCCTTTCTTTTGGAACCGTAGTGATCTCGGTGACTTTGCAGCCGCCGTGCACCGCTCAACCGTCGTTGCAGATCCAGACGGTTTCACCTTCATTGTTGTTTTCGGGACATCCTTCATTGCTGTACCTCTGTTTCTTGCTGTTTGCAACCCTTGATTGTTTGGTTCTCATCTTTGTTGGAGTTTCTCATTGGCATTCCTTCGATCCTCTCCTAACAGTAGATCTCGACTCTCCTAGCTCGAGACAATTTGTTTCTCTTTATGGACTCCTTAAGTAAGTTATCTAACACTAGCTCTCTGACCATCATGATTGGTAAGAACTCTAGCTTCTTAGGTTTTAATGTCTTTTGTTCTAAAGATATCTGGATTATTGTCTCCGGTGCAACTGATCACATGACCCTTATATGTCATATCTCTCTTCTTATTCACCTTTACCTAGTGAACGCCATATTACCGTTGCAAATGGGTCCCAAACCCCGATTGTCGGATTTGGTAACATCCGCCTAAGCCCATCTCTCCACCTAAATCATGTGCTTAAGCTTTCTAACAATCTTTTGTCCATCCATAAACTCACTAAAGACTTGAATTATGCTGTAACCTTTTTTCATTCTCATTGTGTTTTTCAGGATCTTGCCACAGGGAAGACGATTGGAATTGCTGAGGAACAGAACGGGTTATATTATCTGTCTCATAAGGAAAGCAAGTATCATCAGGCTGGTTCAGAGTCATGGACAAATACTCAAATATGGCTCCAACACAGACGTCTTGGACGTCCTCCTTCCCGCATGCTCAAGTCTCTATTCCTTCACCTACTTACCAAAGTGTTTGTTGATTCCTTTCATTGTGATGTGCTAGTTTGTCAAATCCCATCGAGCAACCTATTCCCCTAGTGATACTAGGAGTGTCGAACCCTTTAATCTTGTTCATTCTGATGTATGGGGGCATTCATCCATTTCCAATATTTCTGGTGCAAAATGGTATGTTACTTTTATTGATGACTGTACTCGGGTTACATGGGTTATTCTTATGAAAGATAAGTCTGAAGTGTGTCAATTGTTTGTAACTTTTTTCAAATGGTTAGAACACAGTCTGGGAAACCTATTAAAAGGTTACGGTCAATATGTAAACCAAAATTTTCACAATTTTCTGAAAACTAATGGTGTTGTTCATCAGTTGACTTGTGTTGACACTCCACAACAAAATGGGATTGCTGAAAGGAAAAATCGTCATCTTCTTGAAATCACCCGAGCATTACGCTTTCAAATGAATGTTCCTAAATTTTATTGGGGGGAAGCAGTCTTGACCTCTGCTTATCTAATCAATAGGCTACCTTCTAAGGTGTTATCTGGTGTTAGTCCTGTGCAGGTCCTGACTCAATTCTTTCTGTCCGTGTCCATTATGTCAAGTCTTTAGAATCATGTCTTTGGTTGTTCTGCCTTTGTCCATGTTCATGGTCTTCATCGAGGTAAGTTAGATCCTCAGGCTATTAAATGTATCTTCATAGGATATGCTTCAGATAAGAAGGGGTACAAGTGTTATCATCCATGAATGTTACTTTTCAGGAATCTGAGTCTTTTTATCCCAATCCTCAGCTTCAGGGGGAGAATAATCAAGAAGCTGAGTCTTCAGAGTTGTTTGTCCTTCTTGTTATTCCTCTAATACCGGACCCAAAGCCGCCTCCTGAGTTGTCTGTTATTCCTCTAATACAGGACCCATAGTTGTCTCCTGAGTTGTCTGTTCTTTCTGTTATTCCTGTAATACAGGAGCCCTTGATGCCTAATGAGGATGGTGGTGATATACGAATATCGGTGCATAATAATGTTGACAGATACAAGTTACAATTCCAGCGAAAAAGGTGGAAAGATAAACCTGTTCTGCCCCAACAAGTCCAATCGTCTGAACCTGAGGTAAGTGTTCCTAATCCTGAGCTTAGTAATTCTTGTGAGCCAAACCTTGATGACCTACCTATTGCTTTGAGAAAAGAAAAAAGGTCTTGTATCAAATATCCTATATCCCAGTTTGTGTCTACTGGAAAGCTTTATGTGCAACATCAGAGTTTTATTTCAGCTATTGACTCTATTGGAGTCCCTGCATTAGTACAAGAAGTATTAAAGGATAATAATTAGATTCAAGCCATGAATGAAGAGATGCATGCACTAGAGAAAAATGGGACTTGGGAGATTATTGAGAAGCCAAATGACAAGAGGTCAGTAGGCTGCAGGTGGATATATATACGGTAAAATACTGATCCGACGGTATACTCGACAGATATAAGGCGAGGCTAGTTGCAAAGGGATACACCCAGACCTATGGAATTGATTATGAAGAGACATTTGCTCCAGTAGCAAAAATGAACACCGTAAGAATCATTATTTCTTTGGCAACTCACTTTGATTGGGAGTTGCAACAATTTGATGTGAAAAATACTTTCTTGCATGGAGATTTGGAGGAAGAGGTGTATATGGAGATCCCACCCGGATATGACCCTACTTCAGGAAGTAATAAGGTTTGTAGGTTAAAGAAGGCCATATATGGGCTCAAGCAATCACCCCGGACTTGGTTTGGGAGGCTCACTCGTGTTATGGTGTCCTTGGGTTATAAATAAAGCCAAGGTGATCATACACTCTTTATAAAGCATGCTCAAAATGGTAAACTCACTCTTTTGTTAGTCTACGTAGACGATATGATCATAGCAGGTAATGATGAATTTGAGAAGAAGAACTTGAGGAATGAAGGATCTTGGAAAGTTGAAATATTTCCTAGGTATGGAGGTAGCATACTCAAAACACAACATTTTCATTTCTCAGAGAAAATATGTCCTTGACCTTCTCAAAGAGACTGACAAGTTAGGTTGTAAACCCTCCAGAGTGCCTATAAAGCAAAACCATAAGATTGGGAGTGATGAGGAAAGCCCAAGGGTTGATAAAGCTCAATACCAAAGACTTGTGGGAAAGCTCATTTATCTATTTCACACCAGGCCTGACATAACTTATCCGGTTAGTGTTGTCAGTCAATTCATGCATGACCCACAGGAGAGGCACTTACAGACAGTGGATAAAATCTTGCAGTATCTAAAGATGAGTCCAGGAAGAGGACTACTGTTAAAGAAAAGTGAGCAGTTGTCTATGGAGGTTTATACTGATGCGGATTATGCAGGGTTGATTGTTGACAGAAGATCCACCACTGGATATTGTATGTTCCTAGGTGGAAGTTTAGTGACATGGAGGAGCAAGAAACAAAATGTAGTTGTCAGATCAAGTGCAGAGGCAGAGTTTAGAGTCATGGCTCAATGAGTTTGTGAACTGTTGTGGATGAAGATCATTCTAGATGACTTGAAAATAAAGTATGAAGCTCCTATGAGACTTTTCTGCGATAATAAGTCTGCCATTAGTATTGCTCACAATCCGGTCCAACACGACAAAACAAAGCATATAGAGATAGACCGACACTTCATCAAAGAGAAATTGGATAGTGGTCTTATTTCTACACAGTACGTCCCATCAGGACTTCAGTTAGCTGATGTGCTCACCAAAGGATTTCCCTTAGAGCTGTTTCGAGATCTTACTTGTAAGTTGGGGATGATAGATATCCATTCCCCATCTTGAGAGGGAGTGTTGGAAGTTATTAGAGAGATAAGTACAAAATCAACACAATCTGTGTTATACAACTCAGCATAATATTCGTTGTAAATAATAATTAGTAATTAGCTATTAATAATTAGTAATTAGTTGTCTTCCATCATATTTAGAAATAGCATTTAAAGTGATTTGTCCCTTGTATTCTATAAACACCTTTCATGTATTACTTACTACAATATCAAAGAAATACAGATTGTTTGTTTCTTTATTTGTCAATAGTCCTGATGTGAATTATGTAATCTATTAATGTATAACCCAGCAAGGCCTAGGACTAAGGTGGTGTTATGGCTTGCTTGCCATCGTAAGCTTGCAATTAAAGACATGCTCCTTAAATTCGATATGGTTGATAATAGCAGGTGCAATTTCTGTCACAATGAGGAAAGTATCAACCATATTTTCTTTGAGTGTACTATTTTGAAGGCAATTTGGATTGATGTTCTGCATTGGCGAATTGCAACCACTTACCCAAGAAGTGGGATGATGATTTGGACTGGATTAAGCAAGGTTCTGCTAAAAGGTTGAGGGCAAAATTGCTCAAACTTATCTTTACTGAAGCTTTGTATGGGATTTGGGCCTATCGTAATAGGATTTGTTTTGGGCAAATCATGGATAGAGATAATGTGAAAGGTATAATTGATAACATTGTGTATGGGAGTTGGTATTGTAAGGACTTAAAGTCTCACATAGTTAGATTGATGTTGGGATAAGGTTCTTTTCTTGTCTTTTGGTTGCTTTGTTGGCTGGATCTTCATGATCGCCTTGTATCTCTTGTTTTTTTTTTGGTTTAATATAAAGTTCTTTATTCCAAAAAAAAAGTTAGGCCTCAGGCCATGAAAAAAGCTTTTTAGGCCTAACAGGCCGACCTATATAAATAAATATGAATAATTTTTTTATTATCATTATGTTATGTTTTGTACTTTGAATCAAAATACATAAATAAAACTTGGTTATCTTGGAGAACTTATGAAAATAAGATGAAAGCACCTTATGAACAATGTTATAAGTTGTTTTCACAAGTCCTCTTAAATAAATAGTCTCACAAAACTTATGATAATTGGTAAGTTAAAATAAATCAATGCAAACAAACTTTTAGTCTCATTGGTTTTTTAGTTTGTTAGTCTATTTAAACATTATTTAAATTGCTTATTTACATATGTCTAAAATAATAGGCTTTTATGTAGGCTAACAGGCTAACCAAGTCTTAGAAAAGGCCAGACTCAGGCCTAAAAATAAGCCTATGACAGACTATAGGCCAGGCTTAGGCTTCAGTTTTTTTGGCAGGTCAGACTTAGGCTTGACAAAGTCTAGCTCGACTCAGCCTATTTTCACCCCTAAGTTCCATCCTTGTTTGGCAAGGTATAATGTTTTAAAAATATTTTGTTTACAAAGCTGCAGTCTTAGTGTCTTACATACACCCGAAAAGTGTGGTGTAGGCTTTGTAAGACCAGGAGATACTCAAAAGTAAAACAACCATACAAATAAATCTTTTGCGTGAATCCGATTCCTTCTGTCCTTGCTATTTTTATTTATCTCAGAATTTAATAAGTGCTAATGTTAAGAAAAAGTATTTTGCTCTTCCTGTATGTTTTCAAATACTCTGTTTCTTCTTTTTCATTCAATCTAATTGATTATTATTCTTT